ACCCACTGGCAGAGGGGATTATTTTATTGACTCCATGCTCACAGTTCATAGGGGCTCGCCAGTGACAAGCCACTAGCAGCAACAACAGGTGGATAGAGAGCTGTCATACTGCATGATGACACACGAGAAGCAATCTCAACCAAGAGCTCTTACCACTGCAGATAACAGGGACAGGGACATCATCGTCTCTGTGGTGCCTCGATATAAAATGAATCAGGTGCAGCACAAGTACGCTGCAACCACTTAAAAGCATAATGTTAGAACTGCTCCCTTTGTAGAAGAGTCTCTGTGTTCAGATGGATTAGAGATTCAGTTCAACCAAATCACACACAAAAAAATGTTTTCTCACTTGCCGCTATCTAGCCGTGCAGATAGTCTGTGGTTTATTATAGGGACTATTTATTAGGTACATATTTCCTCTGAAAACGCTTCGCAGCAAGGAACCAGGACTGTTTCTAGAAAGAAACATTGCTTTGGAGTTTTTCCAAATGTCATTTTGCAAAGTGCCAGAAACCAAATTACATTTACCTCTATAATACATTTGTAAGTCATATTTAAAAGTCAGCCATTTTAAGAGATTTTGCAACAGACTTTATGCTGGGCTACAGTCCTGCTCACCATTATTGGCACCCCTTCATTTTTTGCATAACCTCTACAATATCTTCAGAAATAAATATAGAAATAAAATTTAAAAAAATAGGAATGTACCAAATTTATATTAGGCTCTTTTAATTGGAGGTCCAAAGTAATTTAACAAAGAAAATTGTTTTTTCAACTTACATATTGTAATTTCAAAGAAGAAACAGAAAAAAACAGCATGTGCAGCAATAATGGCACCTCTCTTTAATATTTGGTTGCACACCCGTTGGCAGTGATGACAGCCTCCAAATGTTTCTTGTAGCCATCTATAAGCTTCTTGCACTTCTCAGCTGGTATTTTCTCCCACTCTTTGCAAATTGTTCAAGCTCTTGAACATTTGTAGGTTTCTTTTCCCCAATGGCAGATTTCAGCTCATACCAAAGATTTTCAATCGAATTGAGATCAGGACTCATTGCTGGCCATTTTAAAACAGTTTACACCTACAACACCTTTTCAACCATTCCTGCGTGCTTTTCGATGTGTGCTTTGGATCCTTGTCTTGCTGGAGGACCCATGATCTTCGACTCAAACCAAGTTCTCTTTCACTGGGTAGGAGATTTCGCTCTAAAATCTCTTGATAATTCTCTGATTTCATGATTCCTGTGATACGGTCAAGGCCTCCAGTACGAGATGCAGCAAAGCAGCACCACAGCATTATGGATCGTCCACCATGCTTAACTGTTGGTAGGGTGTTCTTTTCCTTGTAGGCTTCATTGCACCGTCTGTAAAGAAACTGTTGGTGTGCATTGCCAAAAAGCTATATTTTTGTTTCATCTGTCCACAGAATATTTTCCCAGAAGGATTGCGGTTTGTCCAGGTACTCTTTGGCAAAGATTAGTCGTTCCTTTTTATGTCTTTTCCTCAGCAATGGTGTCTTCCTTGGCCTTCGCTCATGAAGCCCTGTTTGGTTTAGTGTGCGGCGTATGGTACTTGTTGAAATCATGACCCCAGACTATTCCAGGTTGGCCTTCAGCTCTTTGGATGTTTGATGTGGTGTTTTGTCCACCATCCCCACCAACCTTCAAAAACTTCTCTCCCATTTTTTTTTCCCCCCCCCCCCCAGGAGGGGGTTGTTAATTCCTTCCTTGGCAAAATATTTATAAAAAAAAACACTTTTTAAAAAAAGAAAAAAAAAAATTTTTAGAGGGTTTTTTTTTTTTTTTGTGTTTTTGTTTTTTTTTTTTTTTTTCTTTTTTTTTTAGAGCCTTTGTGTTCACCATTGTCCAGGCCAAAACACGGAAGTCATCATTCATTGGCTAATTCATGTCACATGGGCACAGACAATTTATCACAGGCGATTCTCATTTATGATTTACCACAGGTGAGTCACAATGTGTTTCCATACTGATTTACAGCAAAGGGTGCCAATACCAGTGACACAGCAAGCTTTAAGTTTTTTAAATTTTTCCTTCCCTTGTTTATTGTTTTAAATAGTTGTTTATCATTTCCTCTTTTGTATTAAACACGAGTTCTCTATAGAACAGAAATGTTTCACTTGATTAATTTTTTTCAGAAAATATTCCACATTATGTACTTAAACTTCATGGGTGCCAATAATGGTGAGCAGGACTGTGTACCTTCAACATCTCTTGTTGCCTTGGGCCATTCTAAGCAATGTAAAAAATCAATGAGCAATGCTGGATCTAAAAGAATACGTCATTAGTGTAATGAATTGCCTTGACACTGCAGGTAGTTCATTTGCTGAATTTGCCAAGAAGCATTGTGGTAATTGCCTTGTGCTAATTTTACCACAATTGCCTTGAAAACTTGACTGTTTTCTAATTGAACCGCCAAGAAAATGTGCTACATCATGATATATTGTATCTAAATATAAAAAAAAAGATGTACATTATTATGTACATATCTATAATAAATCTCCACATACAGGTAAAACTGAAACTTTCTGCCCGGCTAGATATACCTCTAAGTTTCTTCTTTTCTTCTTTTAAGAATGAATGAGACTCATCATTAGGTCAGACTTCTCTCACTATTTATTGTCACACAGGTGATGACTCATTGATACTTGAGCACTTGACAAAATACCAACCCGAGCAGCAAGCAAGACAAAGTACCTGAAAAGCAACACCTAGTGGTAAAGATTACATCTATGTCCGCTATATGGTGGTTAGAGTGAGATATTTGCTAATAGGTTGCATAGTCACTCTCATAGACGCAATTTTGGACAAGAAGCACTAAAGGCAATTGATTATATAAGCCAACAGAAATTCTGAGTGCATAGCAAGTTTTTATTAGCCTGTTCCTTTTCAAAAGAGCCTATTCCACTGCTAGTGTTCAGAGGGAAGAGTGCGTGATCCTATTCCTTTCAAAACTCTCTCTCTTTTTCTGAATTTACTTTTTTCCTCTACTCCTTCTCTCTCTCTCTCTCTCTCTCTCTCTCTCTCTCTCTCTCTCTCTCTCTCTCTCTCTCTCTCTCTCTCTCTCTCCCTGTCTCTCTTCCACTGCCAGTATAACAGCTGCTTCTCCTTTGGCCAGCTTCCAAATGGATGACTGAGGAGAGTGAATGGGTTTTTAATTTCACTTGTTAACGCTGCTTTCTTTCTGGTTCCCCTCCCTCAACCTGCAGTGCCAACACTGCCAGATAGGAGGAAAACTTGGAGTGGGAGCAGGGGGGTATAAACAGCATTTTGTGAACAACAGAGAAGCATCTTAACATCAAACCTTCAAATTAAGAGGACACAGGCATGAGCTAAGCTTTTTGAAGAGTTTCATTCTCCTTTCTCCCCTCTTTTGTTGGTTAATTAATCATGAAGGGTTTTACTTGAGTATCTCAGAGGAGGTGAGAAAGAATAAAGCAATGATATTGTTCTGTTACTCCCACAGCAGAGACCTCTGTCGCCGCTGCCTGTCTTCAAACTCCAAAACCACAGACAGGTACAAGATGCCCCAGGCAAGATGGCTGCTGTTTTACCTATGGCTGCTGTACATGTGCACAGAGAAGGCCACAGGCCACCATGAAATCCTCGTGTCCACCCCACATTGACAATTTTAACATTACCCAGAGCTACAGTACACTGCATCATCAAATGAAGAAATGAGGGAAAAAAGGAAAAAGTAGTGAAACTGCTGCCAATAAAGGATGCTAATAAACTGAAGTCATTAAAATAAAAAGTAGGCAGAAGAAACTTCTCAGGTGGATAGTTCAGATATTCTCATGACACACACACACACACACACCCACCCACCCACACACCCACACACACACACACGAGTATCAAACTGTATATAACACTTCTTTCAGCAGTTGCCAGGGAAACATTTCAATTAAATGTGTGTCTTGGCTTCTGAGGTACTTTGGAGCGCACCTGAAATATTAAGGTACCCGGCAAGCTTTGTGATAAATATTTAGGACAACAAAGTACATTAAGGAAAAATTCAGCCAGGGATGAATACAACATGACAAAGTAGGCGCTATAGCATGCAAATAAGACTAATAGTAGAGAATCAAACCCACCTAGAGCCAAGTCTGAAATTGAACAGACAGAAAAATATAATGTGTAAAAGGTAAGCAAAAATTCCTCGAGGATAGTTCTCATACACCAGAGACACATTAACAAACGACAGGTGACAGGGCTGTGAAACTTCTAAACAACTGCTGGAGTACATAACCCCTAGATGCTTTAAACTGGGTGCCTGCGGCATGCAGTTGGATGAGTTGTGACATCCATCCTAAGTGAGATGGATTACAGAGAGCCAGTTTGATTTGAATAACAAGCAATTTACTGGCTCGGGTGTGCCTCTTCAGAGGTGCAGGTCTCTGGCAGGAGGAGGCCACAAGCTGCCATTACGCCAGGTGTTGGGTTTCAAACATGTACTTGTCTCTGTGTTGATCTACCTGTTCAAACATACTCCAGCTGGGGAATGGAATTGATGGAGTATGACGTGTAGCTTCTACTCTTATCAGGAAAATCCATTAAATAATTTTTTGCATAAAATGTTTAAAACACTAGAGATAATTGCAATCACAAAACAACAATTCTGAAATTCTGCGATTGATCACAACACAAAACTGGTAGTTGTAGGTTAGTTGTGTACCTCTGTAGAGATATGACCCTGGACAACACATGGCAAATGGTCAAATTAATCAAATGACATGAATGGGAGGATGTGTTCCATACACCAGGCAAGGTGTGCCCTCTTGTGGAAAAACATCAACATTGCAGTCAACATTTTACACATCAATTACTCCAATAATTTCTCAGCTGACTGACTTGTAAAACACTCAACATAGAAAACTTAACAGTAAGTTAACACAAATATATAGTATACTGTAAACAGGTAACAATTTCACATGATTATTTGCTTCACAGTGAATAATAATAAATAACAGTGAAAGCAGAAGCTTTGAGAACATAGACTTTATTCATTTCATATAAAAATGACACAAAATTAAAAAAAAAAAAGTTGAACAGGTGCTTCAGGTAATCTTCACAGGGACAAGAGCCAGCCTGCATCATAAACATGACCTCAATGGGGAAAACACACAAGGGTCGTCGCACCTTCACATCATCACCTCAATCAGTTCATGTACTGCATATAAAGACAAACCTGTACAGTAAACCACCAGCAGAGGCCAGGGTAAGCCTGGGACAAACCACTGCACCCTTTTCACTCCTCTTTCCCTGCCTTCCTCTCCTCCTACATCCCCAATTCCTCTTCACACTCCCTCTTTTTTTCCCCTTTTCTCCTTCACCTACTTTTCCTTTTTTCAGTTTTCTTTCTGACCCTTCATGTCCCTGAGCCCTCCTTCTCTGATTGGTTCCAGACGTGCCACTGAGCTCTTCTTGCCGACTCAACATTCCACAGCTGGAGACTGCACACACACACACACACACACACACACACACACACACACACACACACACACACACACACACACGCATGCACACACAACTACACACACACCTACACACACACTTAACTCAACTTACTCCTTCTCCTCCTCCCTTCCCCCTCTATCTTAGACCAACTCATGGAGCTGCTGTTTTTTTTTTTCAGAGCAACTCAGTCAAACACCAAAAGCCTCAGACTGAAACGGCTCCAAAGCATTCCTCCAAGCAAGAAGACAGCAATGCGCTCAGAGGCAAGAGGTGAGAAGAAAAGAAAAATGTTTCAGGAGGCAAATGAACTCTGAAAAATGTGGTCATTAAGCTGCGCAAATGTGAAACCTCAAAATGACGTAGAAAAAGAACAGAAAGAGGTTTTCTCTTGAAGTGAATTCACTTTTAAAACATTCTTTGACTCTCATATATACAACGGTGTCATCCACATGAGGGATGGTTTCCTTTGTGGGGCAATGAGAGGTTCAAGTGTTGGCAATTATCCCATAAAAGTAGGAAAGTTTCCAAATGTCTATACCAGTTGTATTTAAGTCAGAACATATATTGAAACCTGTATCATTAAAAAGACAAATAGCAAAAAATACCCTAATGATAAAACATACAGAAAAGTGAACTGTGGTCCATAAAAATTATGAATCAGACAAATATCAAATTGCAAATCCTTTTTCATGGTGTATACAAAGAGAATTACTGTCCATAAAAATAGCTGAATCAGCTCCAGATGATGGCATAAAGAGCCAAAACAAACAAAAGTTTGGAATCGCAGAGCAGCAACCATGCCTTAAGGATAATGACTGAAGGCAAATGGATGACTAATATTGAATTAGCTCGAGATAATAGCAGAAAGTGCCAAAATGTACATGAAGCAATGGAAACTGAAAGTCTGATCATTTCATGACAACCTCCAGTCCTGCAGTACCAAAAAGACAATGTAGTCTACTTAAAGACCAGCTTTCAATACGAAGTTCTCTACAGAACTTAGCATTAGTAATGTGCACAATTCTAGTGTACTGCCCTCAGACTGTTTGAGGCCACCACTAATAATGGTCCCTGTCACCTTCCACACATTCACATTTGGACTTCTTCCTCCTCTGTTGGTCTGACAGCTGGGGCTGACGTGTCAGATCAGAAAGGAGGAGAGAGGCATGCTCACAAAAACCACACATGCATCATCAGTAACAGTTCTCTACAGCTGCACAGATAATGACAAATCAATGGAAAGCACATAAAGGCAATGCAAAAATGAAAAACACACCAGTTCAGGTAAATACTGTCATGGCAAAAAAAAGAAAAGAAAAATGAATTTGGTCCTGAAGAAGACTGTGACTGCATATTGTAGAGGACAGAGACAAATGGTTTTAGTTAAGAGTCAATCTGTGGCTGTGATGAGCACTTTTTTGCTTTGTAAGTCTTTCAATCAAAATGGGAATAAAACAGGAAATACATGAACAAAACTTTACTTTGGCACCAAGGAAGACATTTCATAAAACTGATTTTATGTTGAACTTTTCCAGCTGCGATGAAACTAAAATCCCCAGGAGATCCATTTATGGCCTTCCTTAACGCTTTTGGGGAAAAGCTGTACACATGGAAGGACTGGATTTGTCTGAAGAGAAATTGCTAGAACTGTTAAGTCTTGGCAAAAGAGGATTGAGAAGGCGGGGATTCAATTTAAAAACTAAACATCTGCTGCGCTCTACACAGCCCTTCAGCACTTTAAAAAATCTTTTTTGGTTTCAAAAGAGACAACAAAGACATAAATGCCATAATGTGTATCTGAGTCAGCACATTGAAATCAGCCTCCCCTGCGTCAGGTTGGGTCCAGTCCTGGTTTGGTCGGTCTGGGCGGCTCTGCTACTCCGGCTGCTCGTTCAGCTCCATGTCAGACACAAGGATGTTCTTCTCAGTCTGCTCTGTGAGGCTGGAGTTAGTGCGGCTATAGCGGGCCCCCTCATAGGACCCCCGGGACCCGACAGTTCGCCGACGGTACAAGTAGATCACACCGACAATCAGCACCACCAGCACCAGGCCCGTCACCATGACAACAATCAGATTGGGCAGGTGGTCACCATCCACTAGACAGAGGTAGAAGATGGATGTCAGTGTTAGTATCAGTAATTCAATTTCTGCTGTACATGTTACAACACAGATATTTAATTTTCAAATGAACAGAATAATAATCATACTTACATGTCACAGCTGAGGTTTCAGCGCCTGCAAACAGAAGAGGGGACAGTTAGTAAAAATGGACTGCTTTAGTATTTGACAATCATTTTAATAGCACTTAATCTCATCTCCATTCCTCTCTCAGGTTATTCCACCATGTCTTAACGACAAACATACAAATACTTGAGGGTTTTTCTGCGGCTGCTTCATTTATTTTCCTGCAACACCACAATAAATTCCCTCTCTACTTTAAGGGTTTACCCTTTACCTCTTTGAACTGATCAGCCAAATATTTCATTTATTGGTTTGTTTGATGTTAAAGGACAGTGTCAGCTCCTGCACATGGATCATCATGCTCAACTTCTTTATCATATTTTTAGACCTGGTTCTGAGAATGACTTCCCCTTGGCTAAATTGCTCTTGCGTGTGCTTACGGCGAGGCTGTTTGCAGATGACTCCATGTGTAAGATTTCTGCACGAGCCCGGCTTCCACAGGCCAGTGTTGCTCTGGATCCAGAAGCAGGAGTTTGGAGACAGAACAGAGAAGGTGACATCATGCCCGTCCCAGTTGCTGTATGACATCTCTGTGTCCTCGCTCCACACTAGGCCCCGACCTGCAGCAGGAACACACGCACACACACTCAGAGGAGCTTCAAACACACTCACACAGAATGGTTTAGTTTTATCTTACAGAGAGATAATTGTTCGTTATATCATGTTCTGCCTGACAACTCTGTTCAGTCATAGAGATTTCCAATATTGGATTCAGTTCTTCCCATTAGCTTACCAAGCATATTCAGGGCATTTCACTCAAATTATTTAATTGCACTGACAGATAATAATGCTTTTTAAAGAAATTAACTTTTACGAGAGAATGCATCTTGCTTATCACTTTTATTTGACGCAAGAGAAACTGTCTTAATCAGGTTTCCTCTGCTTAATTAATTGTTTTATGATTATTATTCTTTAAAATAAATTACAATCCATCAGGTAAAACCTATTAAATTAGGAAAATTATCTGCAGGCTGAGTAAGATAAATTGACTAAAAGCAGGCTAAAATTAACAAGCTTGGATTTTCAAAAAACTTCTGAAAATCTGAAGGTTAATAAGTCCGCTGCTGTAGAGAATGGTGGAAGTGTGAGGCAATGATGCTGGACCTCTCACGCTGATGCCCAGCCAAGCGCCATGTGCCTGTTCTACATAGCTCTGGATGTGTTCCCATACAAATCCGTTCTCCGTCTCATCCAAGATAGATAGAAGTTCTGCTCCCTCTAGAAGAGAGAAAAGAAAGAAACGCACAGAGATGGAACAAAAAACAAATGAGAATTGATCATGTAGGGAGATTTAATTATGATGTGGCCGGCTCAATGAATAACACTTCTAAATTTAGACGTATTGATGCATTTTGTCAATTATGTTTGCAGTGGAGAAGGTCAGAAGAGTTGCACTTAATTGGCTTTCAGCTTTCATGAGCTGTACAGTACGGGCAGTCTGAGCAGAGCCAGAATGGTGGAGATGTGAGGGCGCTTCTGAAACTCTTCCCTACCTTTTTTACAGGACATGCGTGCATCCTGCTGCAGTTTAAGACTTTGCAGGTTGAAGGCGTAACAGTGGTTTCTGAAGGGCACCCACGACCACCCTCCCAGAGAGTGGGGGCACTGGCCAGGGTAACTCCACTGGTGAATCACATTCTCATCTGGCAAAGAGAAAAACAACAAGATGAATACATATAATTTACAGTAAATTAATGCTGATTAATCCTGGAAAATTACAGTTAAGCTGTAAATCTGATGGTGTGTTATGTGCACTTGTGCCACATGTTAATGGGTATTTATTGCTTTTACATTACACACCGCTAATTTGACAGATAGCAGCATCCAGTTTAGAATCACAAGGAGTCATAGTCCACTGCCCAGTGGTGGTCATGTGACCGCATCCAGCCAGCTGATTGGGCTCCCCATCTTTCCAGTTTGAATATGTCACTTCTTCTTCACCCAGCCAGCTGAAGCTCCGTCCCTGAGAATATAAAACAATAAGTTGCAATTCACTTCAGTTTCCCCTCGGCCTGGAAAACATAGCTGTACTTGTTCAAACGTATGAATGAATTAATACTGTAAGTTAGCCTCACTCCATAGTTGTAGAGAGCGATCCAGGCAGGCTGGCGCAGGCTGTTGATCAGCAGTGTGAGGTAAGCCTGCTGGTAGGGATCCTTCACCGTGGCCAGGGTCCCATTCAAAGATTCACAGAGGTGCAGAGAGCCGGTCCAGTCCAGACGCTTCTCCACTACCCGGTAAGTCACTCCACCAAGCTCCACAGGCTTTGACAGGGAGGCAGGAATAAGAGCTGGGGCCGGAGGGAAACTCGAGTCTAAAGAAATGACAAAGTCACATAAGGTAAGTTAACACACTTATCTTTGTGGTGCAAATATTCTGCGTTTTTAAAACACACTGTTGTTCTCCAGTATCACACCTTGTTGCCTCTGACAGATGAAGCCATTACTTTCCAGCTCACAAGCTCGGGATGCCCACATGCCAGTGTTCTTCTGTGGGTTCCCATGAATCATCACCACACAGTTTCCCTGAGAGGTGACAGTGAAATCATCAGAACAGGAACACATTGAGGGCAAAACCATGACATTTGTGCTGATAGGTGAGTGAGTACCGGGGTCTTGTTGTGGTGTGGTCCACTGTTGTCGAGTGGCTCTCCAGGAGCCCAGTTGGTGTAGCTGAGCAGGCTAGCCTTGGCCCATTGGAAATGACCTTTAGAGTCTGAGGTCAGACCCACCCAAAGGTCAACACTGGTATTGTAAAGCAGGGTGGTGACAAAGGCTGTGAGGAGGAGAATCGATTGCATCAGTATGCTAGCATGTAGGGAAATTCTTACAAATAGTGGAAATATGGTGATAGGAAAATGCAAATATGAACATGACAGATCATACAAATGTACCTCATTAAAATAATTATGCCTGAAAAGTAAGTAACCTACATTCAAATAGAAAGGTAAGGTTGATTAACATTGGTTGGGTCTACAACCACATCCGGTAACTTGCCAGCTGTCTTCTTTTTCTCTTGGCTGCTCCTGTAAAGGGTCCCCACAGCTGATCGTCTGTTTCCATCTCTTCCTGTGCCCTGTATCTTTCTTTGTCGCCAACCACCTGCATGTCCCCCCTCACCACATCCATAAATCTCCTCTTTGGCTTGCCTCTTTCTTTGTCCCTGAACTGTCTAACCTGAGCTGTCCTTTTAATATACTTATTTCTAATCCTGTCCATCCTCATCACTGCCAGATTTCTGTTGAGGCAGCCAAAAGAAGAAGACAGTCGGCATAAAGTTAAAGGAGATGGTGGACCCAACAAAAGTTAATCAACTTACTTCTCTACTTCAATGTAGATGACTTACCTTCTCAGTAGTAATTACCTTGCTCCAAATGATTGGACACCACTGCCAGTACACCTCCCTGCGTTTCACATTTCAACTTGGCTGCAGACCATGTGACTCTGTAGGACTGATCAAATACTCTGAAACACTACAGAAACACAAGATGTCATTGCAAAAAGGGGTTAGGTTTGGTTTAGTTTGAGTTAAAAAAGATCCTGCATCTGTCATATAACTTAATGTAATTATTGCATTATGCTGAACTCCTGATGTGTTGCAGCTCTACCTTATGCTGATAAGAGGACCATCCGTCATGACAGCCTGAAGGTGGGTGGGGGGATGACGGAGTTGGAGGAATGGTGCCAGTGACATTTACTCTCTTACAGATGTAGGGCAGGTCAGAGTGGCACTTCTGATCGGCCCAGTCCGCTGTTTGAGAGTGAAAAATACAAGCTCAGGTATGTGTCTCTGATTTAGTCTCTTGAGGTGTCGTACTCTGGCTGTTCTTACCTTTGCTGGCAGACAAGTGCACACATTTGCGATCACGGCTGAGTGGGTGTGGCCTCCCAAGGGCCCAGGACACATAATTGAGCACAGAGTGGTCAGACCAGCGAAAACGTCCATCATTTTCATAGGTGTAAAGCCCCAGCCACCAGTTGTCACCCTCCACCTTTGTCATCTGAAGGTGACAAGGAAACTGTAAAAAGGCATGTTGAGGCCACTGGCACAGAGACTTTTAATTGTGCAAATGTAGAAAAGGTAGCAGTGCAGAATACAGAACGCATAACAAGTTTGTACTTGTTAGGTATCTCTGAGGGTTTTGCCCACATAAAGTTGAACTGCCAGCAAAAACACTAATTGATTGCATTTTTGTATTAAATCAACTCATATAAAGGATGATGAACTTTATGATAAAATGAGCAGTGCCTCGCGTAAAGTGTTGGCCAGGAAAGCTTGTTCCTCAGCTGAGTGGACGGAGGCCAGCGATGAATCAAACCAGGAGCAAATCCTCTGGGCCTGGTCCCAAGTGGTGCGGTGGTCAAAAAATTTATACTCAGCCTCCTGGAAGGCAATCCACTCTGGGGAACTGGTGCCTGACAGATGAGGGAAGAGGGAAGAAGGAAAGACCGTCATGAAACAGAGTTGGAAGGTTTTGAAATAATCCCCAAGAAGGTAATTTTAGTATACTGAGAGAAGTTCAAAGTTAAGAAAATAAAACTGACCTTCAGAGACCTCTGGTTCCTTCTCAACACTACCTAAAAACACACACAGGAAAGGTGTATTCATATGTAGGCCCAAAAGGCAATGAATAAAAAATGGAAGAAATGTTGAGACACTCAAGTCAGAGAGAGATGCCTCCACAATAGGAGCTGTAGGTGGCAAAAAATGTATTCCTAGAGATGAATAAAAAATGTGCAGGATGAAATAGAATACAAAAGGCCCAGTGCTATTGTACCTCTTGGGATCTTGCAGATCCAGTCTAACTCAGAGTCACAGTGCATGGCCAGCCAGGTCATAGTGCCCAAGTCTGCTGCAGCACATTGCCGGATGTTATAGTAGTAGCGGCCGAAGTTCTGGTACGTGAACTGAGACACAAGCAAAGAGTAAACAGATTGTGTTTCAAGCATATCCATACCCATTTTCCCAGTATCTGTTGGCACACAGTTAGGGTTGCATCACTCACAGCGAGTCCGTCACTCCACTTCCAGCTGCCATTGTCCATGGGGTTTCTGCGGTTCAGTCCAATCCAAAACCAGTGCTGCTCATGGTCTTCTGACTCCCTGTGGACCACATCATCATCACTATCAGCATCAGCATCATCATCATCATCATCATCATATTACCTGGCCAGAGGTGCACACCCACCCAAAGGCCTCATGGAGGACCTGGAGAACGAAGTGCTCCTCCTCAGGGCCACTGATGCTCAGTAGGTCAGCTCCGTGTCTCCGGCAGAACAGGTGAGCCTGCAGCCAACTCAGCCTCTGCTCCAGCTGGGAGTAATGAAACACCTGCACACAGATGATAAAGGTGTAATTGCAGTAGACTCATTTACAATAGACTCATATTTGATCAGCTGTAGTCTCGAGGATACCTGTCTGGTTTAGTTATTCCATAACTGTCACTACAGTAGATATACATTATCTCATTGGACTAACATCTAGTTAATGAAATAATACTGAAATTTAAAAAATCCCAGGACCCCCTGAAACTCTCTCAAGGACCCCTGAGGGTCCCTGGACCCCAGGTTGAGAACTGCTATCCTACAGTACCAGACAACAACAAGTTCACAGTTTGAGGAACAATGCTAATCTGCTCATAATGGAAACCTGATTAAACAAGAAAACTGATTAACATGGCACCACTAATAAAAGGAGAATCCTACAATCTACCTGATGAAACTATATGAATGTCGGTAATTAGACGAAATCTTAACTATAATATTATTATCAGAGTGGACAAGGCAGTTGGAAAGCACACAGCTTTTCACTGTGAAGAAGCTGAACTAATCAATATCGTCATCCTTCTTTGTAAAAAGCAATCATATCAACATCTACAAGGACATACGGTATAATACACTCAGATGCCTCCGCATTGAAATGAGAAAAAAAAATCTCTAATATGAGCAAAGGCCATTTTAGTCCAAGACTGAGTGAACCAAATAATGAAAACTAAAGTGTAACTGAAATTAAAAGACACTTCCAGCAGAGTACTGATGGTGTGAAACTGTGAAACATTGCTGGGATGAACCTTGTAACAGTAGCGCAGGTTGCTGTTGCTCTTCCAGCTACTGGGACAGGAGCCGCTGAGGCTCGGGGTGGGCTGAGGGACGGGGGGCTCGGGGCTCAGAGACGTGTCCTGGTTCTGGCGGCAGAGGAATTTTGCCTTCGATGACGCACACTCCCTCACTTCCCACAGACCTGTTGCAAAGCCCGTCACCATGGAAACGCATCCGCCATGAACGTTGACTGAAATAGATACGGGGTGAAACGTAGGTGAGTAGAGAGAAAGCGAAAGAAGCTACACTGATGAAACTCATGGAAATAGAGGGATGTTGTGGAGAAAAAAAAATGTGTGCAAAATGCGATTACACATTTCTTATAAGACGGTTATGAGTGTTGGATCATTGCATTAAACTTAATTCAAGTGCCACACTCTCCGTAAACCCTGTCTAGGCTCTATTTCTCTAATCTCCCTCATGGATCATATTTTTTGAAACGATACAATACTTTCTGTATCACATACAAATACTAGGGCTTTTCTCCTAAAACTGAAACAATCTCTGGCTTTGGAGCTTTAAAGAGACTGTAGTGTGTCTTTCTGCTAGTACTTAGCCTCAGGTGCAACTTCAGGTGCTGAATTTTGGGGGTATATCATGGATATATATAAGTACTTCATTGTGACAAAAACCTGCAGATAATGTTAAGAATGTTCAGAGAGCTCCTTTAACTAGCCAAGTCAACTAAAGAAACAAACTGTTGGATCTATCATTGACTCTAAAGCCAGAGGACTCGCCTACACCTGTTTTTTGTATCTCCAGGTCTGGTTTAGAAATTATGTCTATGGTGAGTCCAAAATCCATGATAGCCTGACTTTTACAAGGAGAATTCTCTGTTTGCTGTCTCATCCCTGTGGTGCTGCAATGATCATTAGAAGAAAAAACACCACAAACTTGTGTCTACATTACATTTAAATCAGAGCATACCCCTGTTGGCTGGATTTGATAGCTGCTGATAATTGCCTTAGACAATGTAGGCAGGTTGTCAGCTACTCAAATGTGCTTTACAGCCAAATCAGGACATCAGGATATAATTCTGAATCTGTATTTTGGCCAAAGAAAAAAAACACCTGGGAGCAATCCAGTTTTTCTTTGTAGATTAAATCCAAAACTGACTCGGTTCAGAATGGACCTCGTGTTTTGGGCAGTGGAAAATCTCCAGATATAGATTAAATGCAAATTTGATGAACCCCTGAAGGAGGTGAACTTGGCAACAGAAATAAAGAAATTGGATGGGGAGGAGAGAGAATAGGAAAAATACTGTAAACAATAGAACACAGTGAAAACTATATCAGATATAAAAAGACCATAGCTGAAACGATTTGTTGATATATCAATAAGTGGAGAAAAAGAAGTATTTATAAAATAAGAAGCTATTTTGATAACTGATTAATCGTTTCTGTTATCTTTCAAACAAAATTCCCATAATTATATGGCTTCCATAAAATAAATAAATAATGCTGCCTTAGAGGGCACTGATATATCTTTTGTTTAATGTACCACCTGTTTTCTCTTGAATATCATCATCTTAAATTATTTAAATCCCTGCTGCTCCACAAGCATTATTACAATCTATTTTTGACCAGTAAGAAATTATACAGTGATGATCTTCAGTGCTTTAACACCTGGACTGAATCAACAATCTGGTCATTATAGATTCTACAATACATTTTTAGATCATATCTGTAGTTCATTCTGTTACTCATTCACACACTCATTCAAACAAGACATAGGTGATCTACCTGGCTGGTCTCGATTCCAGTTGGTGTAGGACACTTCATCTCCACTGAGCCAGTGGAAAGAGCCTTTGTTGCCCTGGTCATGGAGGCCGATCCAGAAGGAATCACCAGAGCGACCGAACACAAGGCTGTTGGCGAAGGCCTGCTCGAACCTTTAAGGATTTAAAGGGCCTTTAAGAAAGCCAGCACTGACAAAACACACTGTGATGTTGTTTAACTTCTGTGAGGTATGTGTGTAGTGCAGTACACACCTATTGGTAATGGTAACAAGGGCGGCTCCGTGGTCCTCACATGACTTCCTGGCTTCATCAAAGGTAAGCAGATCTTCTCCCACCCAGTAACAAGCTGGACTGTGCCACTTCCAGCCCTGAGAGGAGAAGAGGGGACAGAAGATGAGATTAGCAGGATATGGAGAAAAAATAAAATAAAATAAAATAAAATAAACCCTTCAAAGAGCACAAACATCTATAAATGCTGTGTGTGCAACTTTTTAAATTGGCAAATTAAATTGCAACTAGCAACTGGGGCTTTGTACGTATAAGGATGCATTTAATGTGTGAAACATAGTACCACCTATTTAGGCAAAAGTGTCTCAAGCTTTGGCAATTTATGCCAACAACATGTAAAAGGTAAACTGAGTATCAACAGTCAAAGCAGAAGTGAGTCCAATTATACAAGTAAACTGTATCCCAAATGCAGAATAAAAAGAACAAGTCTAGGCATGCAGAAATAACTTTTCCTTGGCCTCAATCCCTCCTGCCAGCTCATGTACTGTAGTTGTGGACGTGTACAGACGCAGAGCGCAGCCAACACGCAGAAGGTCAAAAGAGGAGACATTTTGTGCCAGACTGATAGTGAGAGACAGCTCGTATACAGATTTGTGTGAATAAGCCTAACCTCAGGCTTTTTGCAGAACCACGTTTGGCATCTAAACAGAAACCTCAAAGATTATAGCTGCTGGAGAGGTTTAATCTGCTGAAACTCACGTTTCCTTAACACTTTCCTATCCTCCCTTTCCCTGTCCTACAGTCACAACATCAGTGTTGCCTAGTATGTCCACAATAACATGTGACAGTAATGAGATGTACTGTATTTCAGACTAGAATTAATTGGTATGTAGTAATGTTAAAAAACACTACACCTGATATTTACCCGTATGTTCATTATCAACCAAGTTTTCAACCACTTAGCAGCAGTCAAAACAAGGTGAGACTGCAACGTTGACAGATCATTATCTTTTAGGTTGATATGAACTTGTTAGCAAACCTTTTTATATGCATCAGTTACCTAGCAACAATATCATTTATTTAGAGTCTGTCATGGCCACCTGATGATGTAATCCATTATTCACTCTCTTTTAGCTCTGTTTTTGGTCTCTACCACCTCCTGAAGGAAAATTCTGGCTCTTTAGCTGCTAAATGTTACACTTTGTTCAACAGCCAGACAGACAAACAATGATCTGAAACTCAACATACAACTCTGGAGAGCTGTGGATTCAGGTGATAATTCTTTGTAGGCTGTTTTGTGTTCACATTGTTTAGAACTTATAGTACATTTAGTTATAAAAGTATATATTATAGTTTGTGTAAGATATACTTTAAAATTTTGCTGTTCCAAAATGTGTTAATTGCTATTATATATTTGCTGTAATAGTAAAATAATCTCCAAAAATGAACTGAAAGACCTCACATTTTCACTGAGGGGCCCTAAGCAGCTGGTTACGCCCCAGGCCGCCTCTGCCATTAGAGATCAATGTTGTCTAATCTTTTTGTTTATTCACACATGAAGCAACTGAGTTATCCTGATAATAAAACCACCGTCTTTGGAAATATTAAGCAGAAATGCAATACTAGTGTAAGTAAAATGACAGCATTATAGTAATGAGCAATCCATTACACTTTCTGAGTAATGAGTCCAGCACTGGATGGGGTATATGGTTTGGGGCTCATGCGGTGTAATGTTGCTGACGGAGGAGGGCAAGCAGCAGGCTTTCTGTCATTGTTGTTTCACATGTTGCGTGAAGTGAGCTCATCTGCTTGAGACAAACCGCACTGCCACAGGGCCCTGCAGCTTGTGCCATGGCAAATAACCCCCCTTCCATTACCACCCATGATGCCTCGCTCCCCAGAGAGAGGGGGAAAAGATTCATTTCACCAAACAAATAGCCCATCCGTAGAAAGATCTTTGTTGAATGTAACAGCTGAGAAACAGCACGACTCTCAACTTCAGATCATTTACATCATAAATCAACACTTGGCAAAAATATAACATTGCTGAAGGGCACAAAGATACACAAACACAAGCTACAATTTCTTGTCTCACCAAGAATATTCAGTCACATATTACTGAAAAACACCCCAAACTACCTAAACGTGTAGTAACTGTCAGGTAGGGACAAGGTAGAGGACAGGTAGGGACAAATCAGTATGAGAGGCTTAAAGTCTCATATGGAGAGAATTATGGACTGTGAAATCACAGACAGATGTAGATGGATCTTCCAGATGGCATTTAGTTAACCATGTGGGTTCAAGTAGTGGGCATGATGCATTTCTATTGCATGAACTGTATACAGTTGTTGAACAAAGATACAAACAACATGTCCAAACTTGAATGCCTTAAAAATGTAATGTGTTTTGTTTTTTGGACCAGGGAAAGTACAGTATGTGTTAAGCCAAGGGAAGAGCGTGTGTGTCCAGGGTTTAGTTTGTCTGGGGTGTCTGGTAAACGTTCCAGTCTTAAGGGAGTGATTTATATTACAGTTACAGACTGAGGGCGGACTAGTAGACCAGTGGAAGGGTTAGAGATGGAGGGGAGCTCTGGGAAAAGGGGTCAAAGGTGAAGGAAGGACTGAAATATTTAGAATAATTATTATTCTCCCTGCAACACTACAGACTGTCAGCAGCTGGAGTAAGAGCACTGAAATGCTGCAGATCTAAATAGAGGAGTAAAACTTAGAGATATAGGAAAGACAAAAAAAAAAACTAAAAATGTATATCTAGTCCAGAAAAAATCATTAATCTGAAGCATAAACAGTAAATGCCATGGGGAAAATGAAGTATGTAGCACTGAATCCAAGAGAGAAAAAGAGTAATACTTGTTTGCAGTCTTGGTGCTGTGGCTTCCCGTCACTCTTTGTTCCCAGTTTCTTACAGATGGAAGGCAGAGTCGAATTACAAGGGCTGTCATCCCAGCGGCCCTCCTGCACATGCAAGCAAGACACAAACAGAAAGAGAGAACACAGCTGTTCAGTATATACAAACGGAGAGGAGACTCGCTGACAGTCCATTAGTTTGGGGTGATTAAGGCCCCGGACTTTGGGGGTCAGCATGAGGGTGCAGGGGGGTCACTCACAGCTCCCCAGATGGAGACGCAATCTTCTTGAGTGTTGCGGAAGTTGTTGGGTTCAAAGGGGTGCCAGTAGGTGAAAATGACCGGCGTGTGGTCAGTCCATTGGAAGTCCATTTGCATATCAGTGTCATGGAGCCCTATCCACAGCTGGTCAATGTCTGGCAGAAGACACAGATACCGTCAGGTTAGAAAGACAACTAGTGAACACCGAAATAGGCTTAAAATAAGATTATGGTTCCAACTATGACCTTAGTATGAAATTGTCAAACTTTTCCATGAGGTTCAATAACTACACTGGAGCAAATCCATGACCTAAAAATTTGATTCTTCACTTCATATGCTGTTTTTCAGCTCAAGGAAAGAAATGAAATGCCTGGTTTCCATTATGTTTGAGCTTGCTCTGGAGATGTGGGCGAAAATTGTAGGAAAACAGCTGGAAAATACCATTGAATGGAGTTAATATTTTATTTTTTTAAATTCAATTATTTTTTTTCAGACTGCACACTAAAGAAGGCATAGCTGAAACATCAGTGCATTTTGCTCCACCGTGCTTAGAATAGGAAATGAAAACTAGAATTGGAAGTGTGTGAACTCTTTGTGAACTCATTGAATTTCAACATTCTTTACATGCACTCCTGTTCTTTCTTTTAGTCTTTGTTTTTTTTCCTTCTACATTTATATAAAAACGAGATTCCATATTTCCCATCTAGAATCATTTGAAATCTTTATTATAATAATTAATTTAAACAGAATTTCGTTTCATTTAGGGCTCCCAAAGCAATGCAGTTCAGAGGAAAAGGAATAGCACAATAGAAGAATGGAAATCACCTTTCTTCAAGGTGTGCAGGAGGAACTCTAGCTCAGGTAGGGTGTGGATGCTGACCAGGTTGGCCTCCATCTTTTGACAGGTTTTCTGAGCTGTATCCCAGTCAATCTTGTCTGAAGTCAGTTTGTAGCAGCCAGCCTGGAAAGCCTGCCAGCCCACATCACACTCATATTTCTCATCATCTGCCCACGAGTCTGTGGGAGCAAAAAAATAAAAACCCATCAAATTCTGGACTTTGGCACTGTGGCAGGACTGTAAGTGCAGTATTTCACTTTAATGGACTAATTCAAAAGACTATTCTCTCACCAGTAGTGAAGGGGTCCAGGGTGGCATTGGGTCTCTTCTTACAGACATACGGCAGAGCAACAGAACAATCGCGGTTTTGCCAACGACCCGATGACTCAGTCCTGATCACAGCGCAGTTCACCTCCTCAGCATGGTTTGGCTGGTCTGAGGGATGAGATTGAGAAAAAAAACTCTTCAGAGCATCACTAATACCAAGGTGCCATTGTTCGAGGCACTTTACCCCCAGATACTCCAGTGGTCAACTGTAAAACACTGTGGTTGCACTGAAAAGCCGCCAAGTATGTATTTTAACTCAGAGCAACGTGTTGCTAAAAATGAGAAAGCACGCTCATTCAGCCATCTGTGGGAAATGAATGTTTAAAAAAAGATCACAGATGCTTCAATCTTAAAAAAGACAGAAAAGGTTGTTTTCAGAGTCTGACCTGTTTCCCAGTTGAGATATTTGAGTGGTGAGGAGTCGGCCCACTGCCAGCCTCCATAGATGTCAAGGTCATTGAGGCCAATCCACAAAGCAGCACTGTAACCAGTCAGTAAACCTGAAACAGCAAGACAACACCTTTCTCAAATGTTATAAAATATGAGAGAAGAGCAAAACCCCTTTATTTTCTCTGTTAGGGCTTTAGTTTTTAGGCCTAACAATCTCTCCAGTTAGCCATGATTTTAACTGTCAGCACTGTATTGGGTATATTGCAGAACTGTTATGTAAGAAGAGCAACTGTGACATCCCAAAAATCAATTCTTCTGGTTGGTTGAGTAAATATGCACCGCAAATACGAGTAACAATTATGCAGCACAACAAATTTCATCGCCAATGACTATTTATTTTTATATTTGTCTCAGGCAAACTCAGAAACAAAGGCTTGACAGACATGATTACACACAACATCCTGATCAATAATATTAGAAATTAGAATATTAAGAATATTATTAAGAAATCAAGGTTATTATAGTCATTTTGAGCAGAGGTGCAAAAGGTGAAATTCTAAATTATCTTTATCTAAATTTTTGTATCTGGGAATTGGAAATCAATAGTTTTTGTCTGTTTGTTTGGTGTTGATTAATTTGTGCATGTGTACATTTGTAAGGTTTTACTTTATGATGAAATAAACAGATGATGAAAAGGATTTAGGCTTTTTAGGCTTTACTGCTGTGTCACAGAGGTTGGTGAAAATATCACTGTATATTTTACACAATAGCTACAACATGAGAGGATGTCTCTGCACACAAATGTACACATGACTTTACCGTTGATGTATGTCTGCTCATGAAGCTTGGTGATGCTTAGCAGGTCTGCCCCCTGCTGCTGGCAACTGATCCTGGCCTCGCTCCATGACAGCGTAGCCTGGAAGTTAAACTGGTAACAGCTGTCCGTCAGCGGGTCAGTATCCCAGAATGTCTCACAGCCACTGCCTGACAGTGAGGGAAGGAGATAAGACGTCCGTTAGACCAGGGGAGAAAGCAGGAGGAAATAATAGTGAACAGTTGGTGAGAGGAAACTGTGGTGAAGTTTATTGAGTTTCTGGCAATGTCTCCAGTCTTGCCAGAATGAACTGAGAGAATACAGTCCTGAACATGCAAAGTGGTAACTCACTCTTGACAGGACAGAAGCCCCAACGCTCGTCCTTGCCGTAGTCGAAGGTGGTGGCACACCAGAGGTGACCGTCCTCACGCCCGATACTAGTGCAATTGTGGAACCACTGGCCGTCATACAGAAAGGGCAGATAGCAGGGGCGGCCATGAGAGTTCCCCTGGATTGTATAGATCTCTGGGGAGCAAAGACAAGAAAGACTTAAAATCCCAGCCAGCGGCAGGAGAGACGGGCTGTGCGTGTGTTGCCTAAAGTTATGGCTGTGAACTGTGCTGAACTGAAATACCTTATCTGTTTTCTCAGCAACTTGTATAATCAAACACATGGTCCAAACAGAGGATGATGTTACAGTCAAAACAGTAAAGTCAAATAGTGGTCAGCAGAAGGAAGAGTAAACAAATACAAAAAATGGCAGGTTATGAGGAAAACTAAGTGTCTTTTATCATGAACTTTACATGAAAACAGAATCACCAGCTATGACTTCTGAAAAAAGATTCAATCTGAATATTTATATTTAAAAGCAGGATCTTTAAGATATCTTTTTTGGCTAGTTTAACTGATCTGATCTGATTTCTGCAGTTTGACAAAACACCCTGAGTTTGCTGTTCTAGTCTCTACATTCCACCATTATAGTATGGTGGGGAGAACAGAGGGAGAGAAAGAGAGAGAGAGAGAGAGAGAGAGAGAGAGAGAGAGAGAGAGAGAGAGAGAGAGAGAGAGAGAGGGAGAAAGGCTGGATCTGTAGTTCTACCAAAACAAGTTAGGCCAATGGAAAGTAGGGCAGACACGTTAAATGAGGGAGGAAAGTTTTCTGAAGCTCCCTCCCTGACTTCCCTCTCTGCTCCACCACTGGCTGGCTGGCTGGCTGGCTGGCTGGCTGGCTGGCTGGCTGGCTGGCTGGCTGCAGTGGAGTTGCTTCTCGGCTGACTAATGTCAGAGGCATTCCTCTCCAGCAGCGAGTTGACTTCACAAAGAAACTTGTGAAGATCGGCACTTGAAAGTTAAAAATGTCAATGCACTCAATTCCCTTGCCACAAAAAAGTAAAAGAGACTAAGGAGAGGAAGGATAAAGAAGAAAGTAAAGGGAGATTTTCTGGTCTTACGTTCATGGCAGATCTGGTTTTAATTGCAGTCAAGCAGAGCCTGTTAACTATAGACTCATATGGTTGACTGAGCCTCGCAGTATAGTTTGTCAATGAACAACCGTGACATTTGATATTGGTAAGAATGGCACTAACAGCGGAAATGAGGCTTAGCTGTGAACCGCCATGGTTAGATTTAATCTGGACTGAAAACTATATATAAATACAAATATACTTGAGGGCAAGGACAACTCTGTTTGTTTACTGGAGTTTACAAACACCAGCAATGTTTTCCTTGGCTTTCTGTCTGGCAAACAGCCACTTGTCCTCAAAGATTCCCTAAAAGCAACATTTTGCTATATCCATTTGATCATTTGAACAGCTGTGGTATTCACAATAGTAAGTTCATCTGCCACTCACTGGGTCACTGTATCACTACAGCTGGGGACATGACCGTTCAGTCCCTTTCATTGAGAATGATTTGCACTCTCATCGAGTGGGCGCATATTTGTGATCTCATTTCTTATTTTTCATGGAATTTGATTGGTTTTGGTATATCATTTTATTCATTTGTTATTATTAACCTATATACATTGCTCCTTCAATCTTTTTTTTGTTCAAATTTCAATACAAAAATAATACACAGACTTATTTAGCCAAGCAGATTGTGCACATTTTTTTTATATATTTTGTCTATAGTACTTATATTCTATGCTGCTCAGGAATAATGGTAATAACTGAGGTATTTTAAAGGGAATCCAAAAGGGTAGTTAAAATTTTATTTGAGATACTTTGGGTCAAACACAGGTGCAAATGCTGACTACCAATCTGAAAGATCCTTGCTATGTTTGATTACAAGCATGCTTACCACGATATGTTTTAGAGCACAGGTCCTGCACACCACCATGCAGTGTCCACTTGAGCGCTGAAGAAGAGGAGGTTGAGGCGGACGAGTTCCAAAACGAGGGTGAAGGAAGGTAGTTGTTGAGGTTGTCCAACACTTGGCCACAGTTCCAGGTCCAGCGTACTCTGGGGGGCTCGCGGTCACAGGTGTACACACCCAGAGGAGACCTGTCTGATCTGGAGGTGAGGTTACCAGTGGTCATGCCCAGGCACAGTGAAGAGCCCAGGTTGAACAGGCGACCCCGGGTCACCCACTTCCAGCGCTGGTTGACTTCCTCACAGGAGGCTGACAGGACAAGGGAGTGATCCCGCACCCCCAGGCACCCCTGAGCACCCTCATGGAAGAAAGCGAACTCATCAGAGTCCGGCGGCGCTGTGCAGAGAGAGGAGAACAATGGCAATGGTCAATAATGCTGATGACAACAGGATTCCATGTTAGCAGCTAATGTGGCAAGAGAACAGGTCAGAGGCTGGGTCAATATCTCTATTAATGGATGCAGTGCTGGTTTAGAACTAGTTTGAATTGCGGCCTATGAGGTCCCTGAGTAATACACGTCAGTGTTACTAATCCTACTACATATCCTGTTATAACCCTAAAATCCTGTGTGCACATTATATGACAGAGCTCTCAGCAGGAAATAATTGCAGAAATGCCATGCAATAAACTGTGAAAAGTGGTTGCATATGTTTGTAATGCAAGGTTAGCAATCACGGTTGAAGTATTTCAATGTGCACCAGGTCTCATTCACCCCTTCCCCAAAGTTTGACCTGGAATTACCTCTCGGCTTGTTCACTACATTTTGTGGTGTCTATTTCTGTTGGGTTTGACTAGCAGCAGTAGGTGGTTTGGGGGGATAAATATATAAGGATCATTATAATCAGAGTCTGTAGGATGAAATCTGATACATTTGACTTAAATAACAAAATGTTTGAACAGGTCTGAATTTGATTAATTTTATGAAACTATAATGATCCTCAGGGGTGAAATGGGTAGCTGTTTTCAGTCTGCAGACTTCTCACTGCTGTACACTGATGCCTTCATTGGCATTACTTCAGTATCATTCTCTGAGGAGCTATAGCTGCCTGCAAGGTTTTACCCACAGAGCTTTGCAGTATTCTCATATACACTTACACCATATAAAAATAAATAAAACGTTAACGGGAAACTAAGAGTTACTGAAAAAAGTGTTGAACTTAACACATTCAGAGCAGTGGCTGGAGGCCAGCCTCAGTGACGGGAATTTCAGGAACAAAACCCAACAACCCCCCCAAAAAAGTGGTTTTCCTTCATACCGTTCTCTATGTTTCTTTTAAGAATTTAGAGATTGGTAACATAGAAGCCAGGTTTGTGAAAATAATGGTGTGTGGTTGTCCATCTGTGTGAAGGTGGGAGAAAGAAAGACAAAGAAAAGCAAGTCTGAAGTGTAGGAGTGACTCTAAATTAAGGTCCTGTTATAATTACTTCTTTTTTTTTAAATCCCCAAAATACACATAAACCCTTTCACTCAGACCTGAGATTCAGGGGAGAAAAAGTGAGACCCACAGCATTCCTACTCGGCGGGCTCCTGTGAGAGGCCAGGAAGTGGGGTAGGTGGGAAAAGATCACTGGGCATTTGGTTGAAAAACACAACCCTCCTATGAGGATTCTTCAGTCCGCTCAATCTGTGGCAATCCCTCGTTTCCTACCTCTCAGCTCAAACACGCCAAACCTCCTGTGCTGCTTTTATAGACACAGAGACAATGGACTCACATCAAGAGCTCCATAAAAATCCCTGTAATTGGAGAAGACGACCAACACGCCCCTCTTATTGCACTCAGCCTGTGGTTGAGTTTCTCAGAAGTGTTAGCTCATTCGGCTGGTGGCAAACACAGTGACAGGGCGCAGTGGCAGGCTGGTTCAGCTTAAGTTTGAAAATGCTCTGTACGGTGCAATCAGATATAATCACCACCCTGCTCTTTTTATAAAGCAGTCCATCTCACAGTAACACCCAGCTGTTAGGCATATTTACTGCCAATTCATTGTTTTAATCGTGAAAGATTGTTACAGAGAAAGTGTGTTCCCTGACAGAGACACAAAAACCCTAAGTTCGTCTCAGAGGTAAACAAAAGAAAAACAAAAAAAGCAGTAGAACCATATACTTAAACTTATACTGCATCCAAACGCTGCTCCAAATAACACAAAACATCTCAGTTGCTTTTGGGATAAGACTATCTTTCCATGCGGCTGTTATTCTAGTCACTTCCATTAATGCAACATAATCCTGAGCTGGATGAAATGTTTTTTAAAAAGACCCGTTTCTGTGGAAAGTGACTGTCTGGCGTATCCATCGAGTCTAGTATTTAAAGAGAAAAACATCACTGACTCTGCTGATTATTGTCTTGATGAATTGATAAATCGTTTGGACTATAAAACTGTAAAAATGTCACAATTTCTCAAGGCCAAGCTGACTTATTTAAATTGCTCATTTTGTCCGTGCAGCAATCCAAAACCAATGCACACTTAGTTTTATGATCACAGAAACAAAGAAACCTAGCAAATATTCACATTTGCAAAGCTAGAACTGATGATTTTTTACTTGAAATGACTGAAATGGTTAATGCATTTTCAAAATAGTTTGATTAATGAATTAATCAATGAATTGTATCAACTCTAAAAATCCTATAGAAGGTTTTGCATTGAACCCTCAGGAAAGGTCATATAAAACCCTCTATGACACACTTCCTCTTCGTCCTCAGTCCTCAGTTCTCTGTTGTATTTCATCCCTAGTCTGCAATTACAGTGTGATGTCTCCCACAACAGACAATAAACTGTTGATACACTATAATCTTAGCACAGGATTTAGTTACATTTCTCATGGCAAGTAAAACCCTTAAGGATACTTGAACAGCAGGGCTTACACAATACTGAGTTGTTATCGAGTTGAGACATACATGCCAATAAATCAGTCTGATGCCATTTTGTCATTTTTACAATGGGAATTAAAGCCATTCTTAAAAATAGACCACAGAGTCAGCTCCAACGGTGCCTGTGGGAAGATTTTCACACCAGAATCAGCCCAGTAAAAATTAGCATTATATCCTGTGTTGAATTCACTTCAGTATGTGAATATAAGCTCATAGTGACAATATGAAACGTTCCTGGCAAAAGCTTTTGAACCACTAGACAACCTGAAGCTGAAGTTCCAGACAGCAAGGAGCAAATTCAAAAAGAAGTTTTAATTCCAGTCTGGAGGGGACACAACTGGATGTTTGATGTGAGAAAAACTCCCGGGCAATCAGAGTGAGTGCAGAATTCCAGATTAACTTTAAGCCATTGAGCCCTGTGAACGCTAAGCCACAGCAGCTCTCCTGCTGTGATCTCATCCTCTTCTTTGCCCCGTCACCCCTTTTTTCAACACTGAAGACAGTTTCCTGCTGAAGAGAGAGGTTGAAACCCACGTCCAAAAACAACCAGCAACACTCGCCAAGAGAGGCAGATATTCCCAGAACTTACACCTCCTCAATACAGTCATCTGTTGGACCAGGTTTGAAGACAATACTTTGAAACATGGGTGACTACTCAATAGCAAATGCTGGCTTGGGATATTATGATTCAACAAATTTTCTTGTGAAATATGAGCGTGACTCATTGATGCTGTGGGATAATTAAACCTAAGTGGACTGTTTTTTTCCAATCATTAATTTTATATACTTATATCAAACTTAAAGATCTAGATTGAAGTTTGAGTCAAATACTTTTCCCATAAACCTGCCTTATTTCAACAGATGTCTGAGATTACAAAAATAGGCCTTTAACTGGTCAGTGTGCTAAAATGGCAACCAACAAATAGACAGGAAATTCCTCCCTGCTGTGTTTGTTTCTTTGGTGTTTTATGGTGATCTGGCCTCTGAAGGAACCGAAACTGTGGATAGGTTTCACTTCATCTGCAAGCATGGGAGAGGAGAGAGGGAAGCTATCAAGAGAGAGGAGCGTATTTGCATTTTGCAGCCACACTCAGAAACAGGAACCTCCATGAAAGTGTGTATCAAATTTAGAAACCAAAGTGAGAGTAAGTGCATACTCTCGAAGCTTTCCATCATTCCCACACTTGTGCACATTATATCTATTGGATTATAGTTAGATAAGAAATATATATTTAACTACGTAAAGGAGAACATTGCTTAAACTAATCTGATGAACACCACCTGTCTCCATAGATAATGAATGGGAAACTTAATATCTTAATTTCCTATAAATCATCTAGTATCATTATTGTAAAAATTTTCTTCCGTCCTGTATTGATCTACACAAGTACATATTGTGGTTACAATATATTGTACAAGACAGAACAAACATTTCTTATCTTATGGGCATGAGAGTTCATGACAACATGCTGATCAAAAATATTTTCAGCATTAAACTAGATGGGAATTGCAAACTATTCACATAACAAATCCAAAGAGACAACATTTCATGAAATAAATCAACAATGATTCATTCCCTCCGCAGATCCTTCTGCAGCTTATCCATTTGGTCCAAAAGTGATTGACAAGGGATTCTCAACTTTGGCAAAAGGGGAATTTGATGGCAGATGGGTGCAGGTCATTTCAAAATTAAGAAACTAAGCCTCGCCAAAAACAGCTCCAGATTATTGAGGATGTGTGTGTAGCAGGTTGTTTATATTTTTGGGGATAATAGTGTGAAGAGTGGGAGTGCAAACCCACAAAATCTCAGTATTCTTAATATAGCTTCAAGATCCAACAAAAAGAGCTAAATTAACATATTAAGAAGCAGTGTGATTCTTGCATCTGGCATGATAATACGGAAAGAAAATGTGTGGTTAATGGTTTTCTTCATTGTAGCTGCTAGTGTTATGATGGCCGGGGATGGCTGCCTAGTTTACCCTGAGTTTACAGTATTTACAATTAAATTACTTTATATTGACAGTATACATTCTTACTCTCTGTATCCTTTTCTGTGCAAAAAAACCCACAAAAGTGATCAAGCTGCTTAGCCACTGTTGCACTCCACTTCATCATCTCACTCACTGTGCAACAGAAAACTCACAGACAGTAGTCGAATTGGTAAACTCAGATTTCCTGTTGACATGTAAAAACACTGGAAAAACAATGATGTGGTCAGGAAAACAATTAAATCTGTGCCGGTAAACTGTTTAGGTGGGTTTACATTCCAGGGCATCCCATAGCATAATGGTCTAATAGCTGTTCAAGACTGGACTGAATGTGTTAATTGCAGCCTGTAACAGGATGTAAAGGTCACATCTGCCCGCAGGGTGTCAAATGAAGCGTCACTCCACGTCAGTTTTACAATGTAGCCTGGAAACCCATCCGGTAAATAAAAATACAGCAAAAAAAAAAAGGAAGAAGTGCGTTGTTTTGCAACTTTAAAAAAACCTAACACGTAAATAGGAGTCACAATAGAGACACTAAGCCAACAGCCCCTTCCCTCCTCCCCCTGCTTTTCTCCACATCTGGTTCCACTCACTGCTCGGACTTTTGGTTCGTGGCATACCGAGGCACCAAATCCAGAATAGGGAGAAAATATCTTGCAGGTTCGGCTTCCTTATGCATTTTCCGACTTTAAGTGGTTATCAAAACAAAGGCATGCACAATAGTTGAAATGTCTGCCCTGGTTTTTCGACTTTTACATAAATGAAATTGAACGAAAGTTGAGATTTTTCCTCACCCGTAACGCTGCTCCTCAGTTCCAGACTAAAGATGAATAAATATAAAGTGCATTTGTAAAATATAAGTTGCCGATTTGTCCATGCTCTCCTTGATTCCTTGTTTCGGTGTCGGCCGTTGTCTTGCATGCTCACAACTACAACACACGCACACACACGCTACAGACAAAAAAAAAAAAAAAAACTGAACGACAAAATGAAGCCGGAGCAGCAACTGCCCCACTGCTTTACTTTGAGGACGGTGATGCAGATTTGGTGAGTTTGACCGCTAGAGCTCAGTCTGCCTCTCAGTCAGATGAGACTGAAATGAATGGAGCAGCGTCAACAATGTGTGTGCGTGTTTGTATGGTTCCCAACATGAGGTCCGAGGACCTACAGGCGCCTGTTGGAGCACCCCCAATAGCAACCAAGTATATAAAGCACTGGTTCACTTCCCTTTTTTCTTGTTTTTCTTTAGTTTTTTTGTGTTTTGATTCCAGCAGACTAATGTTCAGTAAATGATTTCTAGTGCATCTGTTATTTAGCCTTTAGTTTGCAGTTATAAGGCATCAGTAGGCCTAATGTTCTTCAGTAAACACATTTTTCCCTCCATAATCCTCTTGCATGTTATCATATACTTTGATATTTTGCCTTTTATGTCCACTCTAATGTTATATCTTATCAGTTGTCAGGAAGCAGCAGAGGTGGTATGGCTGACCCACCAGAGTCCTGTAAAGAGCATTATTCTAACTTTACTAATCCCATAATATTCCTGTAATTGCAATGAAAATACTATTTTTCATTATTAATGGATTCCTTTTATAGTCCTGTGGAGACTTGAAGGCTGTCAGTGTTAGGATTTAGTTTCACTTAAATTGTGTTGGTTATTCTACAGCTTTCTCAATAAGCACCCCATAGATACTTTAAAAACAACAACAACAACAACAACAAAAACAAACAACAATGTATACTTGAACTGACAATATTGTGCTGACCCCTGGCATCACAGAGACTAGGGACATGGAACATCAGTTGTCTGACAGGGAAGGAAGCAGAGCTTGAGGTGGAGGAATACCACCTAAATATCGTATGCATAGCACTGGGTCTGGAACCAAAGTGCACTTTGGCTGGACCCTTTCCTTTTCCCCAGCTGAGCGTCGTTGCGCTGGAGTTCTCCCCGGAGAATGAGAGGGTCGCCTCTATGTCACTACGAAGCGCCTGGGAGGATGGCTCTGACTGTTGTATGTGCCAAACAGCAGTTTGGAGTATCCGGCCTTTCTCCCAAAGGGAGGAGGATGTTGGGGACATGGAATCAGAAGGGGCAATTTTCAAAGCCTCAAATGTGGAACTGGCTGCTCTGAGTGGCTGACACGCCAGTTAAATGTTGTGTGGAGGTTGGTGATAGTGCTTGTGGAATGACAGACTGGGGTGGTGATTCATATTTTTAAAAAGGCGGACTTAAAAAGGTGTGCTTCAATCAATGGGGGATCACACAGCTTGGCCTTCAATGGGAAAGCCTATGTCAGGGTGCTGAAAAGGAGGCTCTGACTGATTATTCAGGAGGAGCAATGCAGATTAGATCCTGGCTGTGGAACAGTGGACCAGCTCTCTAATCCAATCTACATATGTTTTGTGGACATGGATAAGGCTTTTGACCGTGTCCCCAGGAGGAGTATGGGGTACTTGGGCCATTGATACAAGCCATCCAGTCCAGATGTAAGAGCTGTGTGCATATTCTCAGCAGGAAGTCAAACCCATTTTCAGTGGGTGTTGGGCTCCACTGGGGTTGTCCCTTGTCCCCGTTTCTGTTTATAATTTTCATGGACATCCCATCCACGTGGATAGAATCCAGACAAGCGGAGGCGAGTGTTCGATTAGTGGACCTCAGATTTGCTTCTTTGCTCTTTGCAGATGGTTCTGTTGGTTTTATTAGACTGTGACCTTCAGCACGCACTAAGGCAGATTGCAGTTGGATGAGAAGAGGACAGGATGAGCAACTCCAGGTTTAAGACCCTGATACTCTGCTGGATTGCTCCCACAGGGTTGGGAGTGAGTTGCTGCCCTGTGAAAGAGTTCAAGTATCTTAGGTGAGGGTAAGTAATATGGAGCCAGTTTGGTTCAGCATATGCTGACAAGAGAGCTGAGCAGGAAGGCAAAGCTTTTGATTTACTAGTGATCAGGATGCCTCTTAGGTGCCTTCCTTTTAAAGTTTTCTGGGCATGTTCAACTGGTAGGAGACCCTGGGGTACCCAGAAAACACTGGATGATTATACATCTCATCTGGTTTGTGAACTCCCAGGAGGAGCTGGAAAACATTACTCAGGAAGTCTAGACTACCTTGCTTAGCCCACTGCCAGCACAACCTGGCCATGCCAGAAAATGGATGAATGGGACTGCCAAAATCTGGTGTATCAACATGTACAGTATGTCAAGAGAAAGCTACTTGGTGTCTGCGTAGGAAAAGAGTCAATGTTTGAGGTCCCAATATGCAGAGTAGGCAGGAAAATGATATTCAGTTTGTGGCCTATTAGGGAGTTTCACATGCATGCCAATTTGTGTGCTAGAATACCTAATTGGGTCGAATATATTCAAACATGACACCACAGAGACAAAGGACAAACGAGAACCCACAGAATGTTGGCTTCTTAAATTGTGTTTGTATGAATGTTACCCTTCACTTCCTGACAGGAGCATGGTGACTCCAGACCATGATCAGACCAGACCATGATGCTTTACTAATTTCACTGGTGCATTACAATAACATATGTATTAATCCATGAAGTCAGCTCTTTCTACTTTAAAACTGTCAATGCTGAATACAGTCTAACTTCACAGTGATGTTATCTAGTAATGAACAAGTTGTTTTATTTACTCACTTATCCAGATGGAAGTGAATTCTAAATCTTAAAAATTCAACCTGTGTGAGGCTGAATGAAGGTCTTCAATGGAAATAAATTGGCTGACTGCTTTTTAGTCTGTAAAGCCAATATTACTGTCTAAAGTGAAGAAAAAAAAAAGGCATAATGCTCATGAATACATTGTCAGCTGTGTTGTAAATAGAAGATATTCCTACAAAGAAAGCAACCGTAGTCAGACAGAAGCCCAGAACAACAGACACATTTTAACCAATAGTATTTAATGGTTTATGCAACTCTCTGCTAAGGCCCAATCTCCCCCCAACAGTACTATTAGGTAGAACAGTCCCTTGCATTTTATTGGCCAAAAATAAATTCAAACATACCTAAATAAATATGTGTGTTTATGGTAGGGGGTCAATCAAAACAATAACAGTTCTAATTAAAGGCAACTTGAAAAACAACAGTTTTCTCCATAAAACTGGTTAAATTGAAAAGTTTTTTTAAAAAATGTAAAAGGGGTCGCTTCTCACCAGCTTCCACTCCATATCAAGTAACACGACTCTAAAACCATTCATTATAAAAACTGAGGTGGAACACTGCCACCAGCTGGAAGTTATAAGCTTTGGTCACAGGAGTTTGACGAGGAGATGGGAAGGGGCGGGGGAGGGGGATAATAGCTTCTGTCCCTCCTCGTCACAAACTATCTGGGGTCTGGAATTTAAGCGGGGCAGGGGATCCCAGAACAGCGGGTTGAATGACATAGTGCCATAGATATTTAGGGTTCAATACAATAACAGGCCAGACTGGTTCTCTCAGTAAGGTTCAGGGAGATGAGAACAAACAAAATGTTTGAGCTTGGGGAGTTCAGACACCTCGGACCAGAATGGCTCATGCATGGGTGTATGTGCGAGTGCGTATGGGTATGAGGCCTTCTGCAGTCCTTTCCATCTGGCCAAGCTGAAGCAGTTCTATACTTCTTTTTATTTTCTCTTTGTTAAGCAGAAAAGAAAATCCCAAACACTGAACCCCACTTTTCACCAACACAGTGCCAAACCTCGCCCCTTTGCTGTGTGAGTCGTCCAGGGCTTTGACCCCCAGAACAATGCCACCCTTTTAAGAAAGGAGGACAGGTAGGCTGGGGTGAGTGGACATGAGAGGGATGAAGGGTGACGTGGGTCTCCCTTCCCAACCCGTCCATGACTTCTCACCCACCCCTTGCCATCTTCTGACCAGTTTCTCTTGGGTTCTTCATGGCAAGGTGGGATGCTGTTGGGAGGGGGGACACAGTATGGCGTCGCCCGCACCCCATTCTTTCAAATGGTTCAGTCAGTCAGTTAAGGGGCATGGGCTCAGTTTGAGGCGCTGCTGTTGGAGGAGCTGGATGTGGAGGCCACGGCCATGCCCGAGGTGCCCGAAGACGCCACCGACTTGCGGATGTGGGGCATGAGGAAGGGGTCACTGGCCAGCTGGTGCACATCAATGCGGTCCTCCTTACGGTACACTAGACAGCGCCTTATAAAGGCCTGGAGGGAGACAGAAGGAGGAGAGTGGAGTGATGAAAATAAAAATCCTAAGCACAGATATCAGCCTTTACAATGTTTTGCTAAAAAGATAAGGATTTCCTAAATATGTACATCCAAAAAAAATCCTCCTGAAAACTATGTGTGAACAGGAGTAGTTAAGAGAGAATAGAAGTAGGGGTGGGAGTTGAATATGCATAGACTGTTGCAAACATTAGCTAAACAAAACAAAAGCAGTGAGGTGAGAGTCCAGTACCTTAGCTTCAGGTGTGACTACTGGTTTAGGGGGAAACTGCACATCTGTTGCCTTCAGTATGGTGTTCTCCTGCAGAATGTCCTGCTGGGACTGGTTGTGACCAAAAGGCTAGAGAGCAAAGACCAGACAAAAATAAATAAATAAATAAAATGAAGAGGATGAATTAAATAATTTTTTGTACACTGTTCTTCATAAAAAGTCACTTACAGACACATTTTAGCCAATAGTATTGAATGGTTTATACAACAAAATATACATTTGTCTTGCAACATAATGTCTCTGTGTCACACAGCTGATGAATTCCACATGATTTGTTTCCCCTGAGAAAGCTTTAATATATTAGAAGGAAATCTTTATGTGTAAAGAGAAAATTCCACTTTTTTTTTTTTTTGCAATAGAAATATAACTTTAGAACTCAATAATGGCTTCAATGTCTTGTTACAACATTCTTTTTAGTGTCTCCTACCTTGCGGCCATACAGACACTGGTAGAAAATGACTCCCACAGACCACACATCCACCTTGTTGGAGATTTTGGGTGGTTCCTTCCCGACCACAAAGCATTCAGGAGGCAAGTACCTTAAAGGAGAAAAGGGGAACCATGTTAATATGAATCAGTTTCAACAGATGAAATTGTACCGCCCTGTTTCAAGGCGCATTTTGTAGTCTGAATCCAACATTATCTCAGCTCTCTCTCCCCACA